TTATTGTTATAAGACTACTGTGGTTTTCTGTTTCTTTTTGATTTATATTTGGTAGGTTTTATTTTTGTAGGAATTTGCCTGTTTCACCCAGATTTAAAATATCTTGGCATAATATCCTCTTACTCTCTTGTTAATGTCTGTGTCATTGTAGTTATGCCCCTTTTCATTCCTGAAATAGCTGATTTGATTTTTCTATTTTTCTTATTCGGTCTTGCCAGAAATTCATCAATTTGATAGTTTGTTCAAGGAACCAACTTTTGGCATTTGTTCATTTTTTTTTTTAGTATTTCATTAATTTCTGTGCTTATCTTTATTATTTTTAAGGTTTATTTATCTGCTTGTTTGTTGTTAGTTTTTGGGACAACATAGTGGATAGCTTCTGTCTGCTCCTCCAGATCCTCTCTCCAACTTGCTCTTCCCTGTCCCAGGGAGCCATTCTATGTGGACTCCATCAACAGGGCGCCTGGGCTTCTGGTTGAGTTTAGCCCGATGTGGAGACCTGGCCAAAGCCAGAGGAAGATAGAACAGTGAGGTCAGGTTATTTATTTTCCTGTCTTCCCCCTGGCACGGTTGCTCTGGGCTCGCTGTGTCTCTTGACCTAAGGGCAGTGCTTGTCTCAAGGTGCCCTGCTCTACATGACTCTTCCTCCTTCCAAGTTCTACAAATTCCCTTTGGGCCCAGGAGTGCTTGCAACAATATCACTACTAGCATAGACTCTTGTGGACTGCTTCGTCCACACCTCTGTAATTCATCGCTTTGTGAATAAACCCGCCTTGAATTATCCTAATTTGAGTGTGACACCTATTATTAGTTAAGACCCTTGACTGATACAGGTGGGTACATAGTTTTGTTACTTTTTTACCTTTTATTCTTTTCTAATATGAATATTTAAGACTGTAAATTTCACCTTAAGCATGATTTCACTGTATCACATTGGTTTGGCTCTGATATGTAATATTTTCAGTTCAGAATATATCATAATTTCCACTGATTTCTTCTTTTACCCATAGGCTACTTGGAAATGTATTCCTTTTTTTTCAGAAGAATAGTTTCCAGTTTCCAAGCATATGAAGATTTTTATAATTAGCTTCTGGTTATTAGCGTCTAGCATATTTTCAGTGTGACCAGAGGACATCTCGGTGTGATTTCAACTGTGTGAAACGTGTCGTGGTTTGCTTTATGGTCCATTATATCACCGATTATTGTAAACGCACATGTGCACTTGGGAAGACTGAGCGTTCTAGAGTTTGGGGAATGAGGCACTGTATATTTGTTAGATAGTTTGTTAATTGTCTTCTTCAGTATTTCTCTATTCACAGTTTGTTATAGTCAGCTCTGTCGATTAACAAACATGAAGTTGTCTATATATTTTTATATTTGTCAGGTTTTGCTTTTTTTTTTTTTTGAGGGCACATTGTTACGCATAGGCACATTTAGAATTGTAATTTCTTCCTGGGATATCAAGTTGAACTGACCCCTTTATCATTAAGAAGTGACTGTATTTATCTTACTAATGCACTTTGACAGGTATTTTTGAATGATAGTGGTTATATTAGTTTTCCCTTGGTTAGCATTTGCGTGGTATATCTTCGTTTTAAATTTTACTTTCAGTCTCTCGGTATTCTTATCGTTTTGATAGGTCTCTTGTAAACAGGATATAGGGTACTTCATTGTACATAGCTGGGAACTTATCAGTTCTTGGAAGAACTATTTCTTATGTGCAACGGAGTAAGATAATATGCTCCCAATTAATCTGTAAGTCAGTGCCCTTTGAACTTACAATTAGTACTTTATTAATAGCAACAGAGCTCTTTTAGTATTTAGATAAAGGGTTTTTAAAATCATATTTCATACCTTTTTCCTGTCTTTTTGTGCCAGAGTAACTTTTACTGCTTCATAGTATAATCTCTTTAAGTTACTTACATGAATTTATATTAGATTCAATGTGGCTACAACCACCTTTTAGAAGGCAGCAAGGTGCTTGTTATCAGAGGCTGGAAGGATGTGATGCTTGGTGAGAAGTGGTGAAACTTGGGGGAAAACTGTGACCTGTGATAACTTAGAACACGGATAATGAGTTTGATAAACTGGTGCCTCTAGAGAAGTGGTTAGAAAACAGAATGGGTGCAGAGTATGCACTTCACAAGTTTAAAAAAAAGAGAGAGAGAGAGAGAGAACGAGATGAGCGTAGGAAAGACTCAGTCTTCGTGCAAACAGGAATGAACAGAGAGCGCCCAGAAACTCAGGAACTTGAAGCACCTTCCCATCCCCAACCAGTACAAGATAAACCAGCTTGTGAACTGGGTTATGTAAGTGACAGGATTGTCACAATTGTCTGGCAATAGTTGTGGCCTCTCACACCCACTGTTTAAGGATTAAGATGACATGCAGTAAAAGCCCTTCATTTGGACCAAATAGCTCCAGGAAAAGACACTAAAGGTGTGACTCTCTCACAGAGACTGAGGCCTCAAGGAGTCTGCCGTTCCCTTGGGAAAGAGAACCAAGCCTCCGACAGAACTGGGGGGTGGCTCCTGGCACCCAGAGAAGATTCACATTGATAACCAGCCGACTAAGTTTTGGGGTGTGCGCTACTGACCAAAACCATATAAGCCTATACTAAAAACCTTCTTGACTATTAGAATCTTAAAATGGCCTTTGAGCCCCCACCACCTGCAGGTGGGTTGGAGGCCTTGCCTTCTGAGAGTTCTTGCCTTTCCGTTATCCTCTTGGGCACAGAAGGAGACCTTAGAGAGCCGATCTCACTTTCCTAGAGGACCGCATGCTCTGAGGCCGCCGCCCTCACCCCTCGAGCTAGCCCACATTCTGCCTATGGAGTGTGCGTCTCCACGGCCTGTCGCTCGCTCTGGCCTTCTGAGAGGACTTACACTGTCTACGGAGTGCTTATCTCTCTGAATAAATCTACTTTCACTCAAAAAAAAAAGACATTAGAGAATAAGCTTTCTTTGGGTCTGAATCAAGTTTTTGGCCAACTTTCTGCTTTTGCTTCACCCTGTGCCTTGGGCTCTGTATGTGCCTGTATAGAGAACCATTGAAAAAACCTGATCAGATCCCATGGTCTCACTCCACAGAGAGACTCAGACAGGCCGCTTATTAACACTAGATCTGGGACTTAAATTCACAGTGACTGACTCAGAATCCAGCCTCATTTCCCCAGCCTGCGTGGTCTTTCCACCCTCCACACTGCTTTCCTTCTGCTCTCCCTGCCTCTGCACATGTGGCTTTGTTGGGTTTGGTTAGCATTGACCTTGGAATGAATATCTTATGGACATTGATCATCTGCCTGCAAGTCTATATGTTTTGAGAAGGAACTTACGGGATGACTTTAATGTCTTCTTTGCCATGGAGGATGTAGTCAATGACCTTGTAAAAGTTGATTTCCTAGGCAAAAGAGAAGAAACATGTACCTTCAGAGCAGAAGTGTATCCATGAGACAGGCTTTGTTCTTTTCCATGTACCCGTGGTTTTCCAAAAGCACCAGCCTGACACTAAGGGCGTGTCTGGCTGCCTCAGGAGCTCACTGTCCTCAGCTCACTCTCAGGATTCAGTGTGTTCCACCTTGGAACCGCTCACAGTGGCCAGGCAGGGGCTGGGATCTGGGGCTGGAAAGAGGGATAGGCAGTGTTCTGACGGGACCTGGGGATTGAGTACAAGGAGGAAGAGACACTGCTGCTGGAGTCTAGGGAGAGAGGGAGGTGGAAGGAGGCTCTGGTCCCATTTAGAATCATCATCAACCCAACCATCCTCCACGTGGGTGAGTTCCATGGTTACGGTCCCCTTTCTCCTTCACACAGCTGCTCTCTCTGCTGTGTCAGCTTTTCCAGACCTGCCTTCCCAATCATGCCTCATGCTTCCCAATTCACTTCCCACCTCCTCCATCCCTCCCACCTCCTTGCACCATTAAAACCCCCATTCTCTTAAAATAGATCTGTTCCCCTACACGACTTCCTAACATGGGCTAGGATACTGGCAGGTGGCTCCTATTCCCTAGCTGTCCAGAGAAAAATCCATGACCTTATTGAAATGTCTGAACACCTAAGTGTGATGGTTAGCAATCATTTTACAAAGAGGAAAACTGAGACCTAGAGAGAGGAAAGGACTCATTTATCGTAAAACAATGAGCCAGGACCAGAGTGTAGGCCCTTGACTCCTGTGCTCGGAGCTCTTTCTGTTGTGGCACTTAAGGTTAATAAAATAGCCTAAATTAGTGTTTCACTTTGCATCACTCTCACCTAGAACAGGGCTACTCAAAGTGTGGTCCCTGGTCTGGTACCCCTCTGCAATTTGTTACTATTCCATGACAAGACAAAAATAGACATTGACAGTCAGCATTAAGAAACCTTTGTAACAATTTGAGTTAGCTTAGTTCTGTTGAAACTAATAATAATTTTTAAAAGGACTTAAATTTTGTGTTTCTAAAAATTTTTTTGCAATAATAGACTTTTATCACATTTTGAAAAGTAACAGTCTAAAATGAATTAGAAGTTCAAAAACAAATGATTCCTTTACTGCAGATGTTTTGAAAGAACTGCCCTAGAGACTTAAATGTAGATTACCTGCGCCACACGCAGGCCTCCTGACTCAGAACTTCCACAAAGAGAATTCCTGATCTAGTCAAAGCTACCTGCAAGTCCATCTGGTTGACCAGCCGTCGTGACCTTCAGGCTCATGAGGGAGAGAGAGGCTCTGTTCCCCACAGCCCAGTGATGGCAGCAGCTACAGACGCCAGAGCAGCTCCCGTGGCATCGGCTGCTGCGGGGTGGGGAGGAGCTCCCCGGAGCAGGAGGCATCCAGGGGGTGACTAGGTGAGCCCCACCACAGGATGAAATGGAGCTAGGAATAGATCTAGAGTGAAGCTCATGCGGTAACAAAGCCTATAGATATATTCCCAAATGCGGGTAAAAACATTGTTTTCCCTGTCTAGGAGTCTCAGCCAGACTGCTTTAAAAAGCCTGGAGACAGCTGAAGTCCATCACTAGGAGATGGTTGAGCATCCTGAGTGCCTGCACATAGTGGACACTTAGTATGCTTTCAGAGTGACTAGCTGTATCTGTGCTGATAGGGAAAGATGCCAAAACATAGTCATATCGAAAAAGTAAGGCACAAAACAGAATTATCGCATTTGTCAAGGGTGATGGAGGAATATGAATATATATCCAAGAATATCCGGATATCCGTAGACATTCTCAGAAAGATACACTGCTCACAGTGGCTGCCTCAGGGCAGGCTGGATTTCTGTGCTGGACCTTTATGTACGGTGTGAGCTTTCCTCTGTGCTCATGTATTACTTTTTCAATAAACATAAACACATTGTGCTAAAAATATTTTTAAACAGTGAAGTTGTACCCTGTCGGTGGTTCTAGAAAGCAAAGGTGGCTCTGATATCTGCTGGGACTTCGATAGAGCTGAGTTTCCACCCGGGAGGGGGAGATGGCCTTCTTGCATCTGTACTCGGGGCCTGGGCTGTTCACTGCTCCCCCAGGCAGGCTGTGGGCCCCCTGGGCCTGGCAGACTGCCCTACCCAGGGGTCTCCACAAGACTCCTCTAGAAAAGTGAGAAATGAACTTTTTTTTTTTTGAAACCCATAGGAGAATCAGTTTGCTTTCACATAAAGGAACAAAAGGATCAGTGTGCTTTCAGTAAACAGAACTTTTTCCATACACTGTAGCTCAGCCAAGTTGCATTCAAGGCCATATTCATGTAGGAATTCACCAGCTTTTGCAAAGTCAACACCAAACCATCAATGAGCACCTTTGTCACCTTGCACCTGAGCAGCTGACACTGTAACACAGGGTCTTTGAAAGAGCTAAATAGAGCCAGAGCCAAATCATCATGCATGGAAATATACCAGTTTTAAAAGAAGTGCTATTTTTTGTTTTTTTCCATGAAGCCTACTTAGCCTCGTAACTTTTTCATAATTAAAACACGCACAATGCTTTATTTTTAAAAGGAGATGAAGTGAGGTAGAGCTGTTATGGGGGAGCTTCAGACCCAAGATTTGGGGAGTTTAATTGGTCAAAATCCAGACAAAAACTGTATTTCTAATGTGAATGTGGCAGATGAAGTATGACAGTGATGTTAGAAGGCCAAAGGGAATGTTAAGAAGCGTGACTGTATGGCAGTTACCAGAGAGAAAAGCAACCTGGGTTTGAATTTGTGCAAATGATTTGTCCCCTTCGAACCTCAATCTCCTCTACTGTCAAATGGGGGTCATGAGGGTACCTCTGTCATAAACTGATGAGAAGAGTAAATGACATAATCCAGGTGCAGTGCCCGGCAGATAGTGACACCTGGTCCAGGTCACCTTGGTTGTTGGAGAGCCTTCTGTATGTCTATGTGATTCGCTTTGGTTACATCCCGACTAGGCCAGCTTGATTGCCCAGGCATTACAGACGAGGAAGGTGAGGCTCAGGGAGGTGCCCCAGGCCACACAGCGCGCTGGTAGAGCAGGGGTCTGAACTCAGGCTTTCTCTCTTCAAGCCCACACTCTTTCCAGAAGGTCCAGTTTTGGCCAGTCCTGTCCTGCTGTATCTGGGCCCCAGCTCAGGCCTATGTGTCTTCCTCACCAGCTGTGTCCTAAACTTGGAGCTGCCCCTGGAGATGAGTTCAGTCACAGTGCCCCATAGCTGGGGAAATGGAGGCGCCAAGGGGTTATTTGACCAAGCTCACCCTGCAGATTAGCAACCTGCTAGGACCAAAGTTCTTTGTCTTCTGGCCTTTTGCATCACAACCTAATGTCTCCTGCTCTTGCAAGGGCGGAGCCTTGAGATGGCTACCTGAGATGGAGGAGAGTTTGGGGAAAGAAAAGTCTTAACTGTGGATGTGCTAGTCACTGCAGTGAAACCAAAGCTTCCTGAATTGACTAGATGATGGGCAGCTCTTCCTGGGCTGGCACTCATGAGAAAATATCCTCTTCAGACCAGTCTTGAAGGTTGGGGTGCTCGGGGTGAAGTGCCAGATAAGTTAGAGGCTGACATTTGTCTGGCTGTCCTGGAGGTGGAGATGACCTCTGACCTCAGGGCTCAGCTCAGAGAGCTGAACATTAAAGCAGCCCAGGGAAGTGAAGCTAATTGAAGTTGGTGGTCTCTGAAACCTATGATGATCTCTATTCTAGTTCCTCAACTTCTAAATTCCCAGGAGAAACAAGTCTGGCTCATATGTGAATTGGAGAAAAAGCTCAGTAGAAACATGTTGACCAAGCCCACACAAAAAGCTGTACTTAAAAAGGAAAAGTGTCCCCACAGAGTTTTCTGCCAGCAGCACATGATGTAATCCTTGAAGACTCAGTCTTTCCAAATGACATCATGAAATTGTGTGGGCTTGAAACTGGACAGCAGCAAGTTATAAAGGTCATTTTGGATAAAGCATAGCAGAGAATGTAAATTCCAAGGTTGAAATCTTTTCTGGTGCATATGTGAAGCTCACAGGCCAGGGTGTTAATTCTGATTTTCCAGAGCCTGAATTAAGATTAAATAAAGTCTATCACACACTCACACACACCCAAACACACACACACAAGCACACACACATGCCACCCTTTATTTTGGGTAGGATTAGTGTTGGCTGGGGGAATCAGGCCTCCTAGAAGCAATTCATATACCATTTCAGATAGGCTAAAAGGTTTTGTTTTAGACTAAAACTCAATTCAGGGCATGACTCTGCAGCTTATTTATTCTGTGTGGCCTTGGCTAAAGTCATTTGGTCATTCTGCGGGTTCTATAGGCCATGTGAGTGCCAGGTCTGTTTATCCTGCTTCATCTTTACACCCCCACATGTTTCATTTCAGCTCCTGTTTATGCCTCATTTTTAAAATGCAACAATGATTTGAGACCAGAGGTCACAAACTCAAATGCCAAGAGAGACCTGATAGAAATAGAAATGAGAGGAGGAGGCCAGGGGTATACAAGAGGGAGTGGTGGGGACTGTGGCAAACTAGAGGGCTCAGGCCACATTCCAAGGAGGCAGCTGCTACTGAGCTTAATCAAATTTACCCTGAGGGACTGCGGGCCCAATTTTGATCGATCTTTCACCTTTTCAAAAGAAACTGCGAATCTAGATATTTATAGGAAATATCTTGATTTTTAAGTATGAAGCTACCAATTCAAAAATTTTAATAAGTAAACACAAAAAAGAGGGAAAAATTTAAAACCTATGCAGCCAACAGACTTATCTATTGGCTGGAATTGACTTTCTGGCTCCCAATTTGTACATTCTAGATTAGGTATTAAGATTATTTATACCTATTTGTTTGCAGTTCTCCTGCTGGGTGAATCCTTCAGCAGGCTGCTTGATCTTTGTAGAACTCTTTCCTCATCTGTGGAATGAGAATATTTATTCCTTCTTTGCCAACCACATCAGGTTATTGTGAAACTCCAGTGAGATTTTAAAACACCTTGCAAATGACAAGGCTTGGGCAACTATAAAGAATTATCATAATTTCAAGGCAGACAACCCAACCCAGAGAAGATAAATACCTAAGTGAAAAAAGAAACTTCGACAGGGTCTACAGTACCTTACATCTGCACTTTATTAAACACTTGATTATATTGGACAGGCCAGAGAAAGACCTACCCTTCCATCCGGAGTCCTGGGACCAGAGTAGGGTGGAGCCTCCCCCATCAGGACTGGCCACACATCAAAAAACTCCTACGGATGAGAAAAACAATAATTATGTGTCTTGAAAGTAGATTAAAAAAAGGAGATTAAGAGAAGGTGAGAAGACCCACCTGTATGAGTCATCTACCACTGAAATTTGGAAGATGGGATGAGCTCAGTGACAGCTAAGCTTGGCAGGGCTGCAAGATTCACTAGAGTTAGGGGATGTCAATCATGTCGTGCTTTGAGATACATCAATAGCGTCAGAACTGGGTCCGTCTAATCATTAACCAAGAAATGGGAGCTAGGTTGGAACACCTTCATGCTCCCCATGCGGTGAGATATGAGAAGGAAAATCAGGTCTCTATGGCTAAGAAATTTACCTTAAGTACATGCAAAGCATGTGATCAAAAGTTTAACTAAAACAATGTTTCTTGCAGCATCATTTATAGTAGTGAAGAATTGGAAAAATCCTAAGTGTCCAATAATAGAGGATTTATTAAATCACTTATGGTACATCTAGTAACAGTGATGTTACAGATGTGTATGTGTTGATTAAAATGATGTCTGTGATACACTGATGATTGGCAAGTGTGAGGTAACAAAAATACATAGATCATGTGACCCCCCCATGTGTAACTATACATAGAAAATGCACTCAAAGAATTCACAACAAAGCATTAACAACTGGTTTTCTCTGCGGGATTGGAATGAGATTATACTTTATTTAGCAATAAAATTTACTGCTTTTGTCATCAGGAGAAAAAAATTTTTTTTCAAAATAAGAAAGAAAGAAAAATCCATGGTGCCAAATATGGACAGCTAGACCCCTATCTGGGATCCATGAAGAAAAGATGACACCTGTAAGACAATTGGCAAACACAGGGGCAGGGAGAAGAGAGAAAAGGGCCAGGAAAGGCTCTGCGTGGTCACGTGGTCCCAGGAGAAGAAACAGACAGGACGCCACACAGGCCCTTCCTCGCTACTTCACTGGTTTTCCTACTGCACACACAGCTGCACAGCTTATGTTGGACCAAACCTGGGCCTGCAGAGGAGGCCCCTGCCCTCCGGTGCCCCCGCTGTTCATTCATCTGCTGATATTTAGGGACAGTGATCCATGAGCTCTAGATTATTGTGAGGAGGATGCCAAGCCTCCTACTCCTCGACCTCTCGTTTGTTTGGACATGTTTGTCGTGGTGGCTTGCCTGCTCTGATACCATCCAGAGAGCAAGCAAAAGGGAGTCCGTATGAAATTCGGATTTCACGTCCTCACCCTTCTGCCCAGCTAGGCTCCTCTTCTTGACTAACAACAACAGGAGGCAGTTCAATTCTGAGTGGAAATGGGACCTGGGGACCTACCTAAGCTCCACAACATGATTTCTGCGAGATAGGGAGAAATGGGCAAGGCATAGTTTGTGCCCTGGAGGAATTGACTGTCTCATGGAGGAGGCACTTAGGCCCTCGAGTAGCTATAGTAAGGTAGATGGAGTGAGAACCAAAACAGTAATAAAAGGGGAGCACAGATGTTAGAGGAGACCAGAGAAGGACACCATCAGGGTCAAACACTGAGTGGCTCTGAAGATTGTCCCAAGGAGAATCAGATGTTGTTCACAAAGTGTTGGATGGACGGTGAGGCATGTTCATACCTGCCTTCCTCTGTCTTAATCTCTCTCTCTATTTTTAAAAAGCTTTTTTGAGATATAATTCACATACCATATTATTCACCCAGTTTAAGCATACAGTTCAGTGGCTTTTTAGTGACCTTTTTCATAATGTCAGTAGTTCAGGGAAGAGCTTAGCTCCTTGGGGCAAAGAGCAGTGGGGCAGAGGGAGGAGGATAGGTTCTTAGGGTGATTGTAGGCAGCCCAGCCCACTTCTAATTGCTAGACTGTTCCATCTACTGGGGATGACTAAGTCAGAATAGTCTTACTTAAGTGTGACTTTCCCTTTTGAGGGAGAATTCTAAAGAAAAAGAGAGCAGAACGCTGCAGCACAGAGCTGGGCTCGGATCCTTTAAGGTGCAAACTGGGCACCTTAAAATGGAGTCTGTTGAATTCAACCACTTAGAAAAAACACTCTGATTAAAAAAATAAAAACAATCATTTGTATGAATTCATTTGCTGCTTTCTGAAGGAGTATAGCAGTATTTGGCAGAATGTTTTATTCAAGACTGTGCAAAGATCAAATGGATGGCTGCGCTAGAACCAGAGGTTCCTTAAAATCAATATATGGCTCACCTGCACCAGAATCACTTAGGGAGCTATTTTAAAGGCAAAAATCAGGATAATAAACCCATGAGTATATGGAAATCTGGTATACAACAAAATGGCATATCAAAATTATGGCATTTCAAAACAGTGGAGAAAGGGTAGACAATATATTGTTTAAATGGGGAATTATGAGGGGGCATAAAATGTACCCCTCCCTGACACCATACGTATTAATAATTTCAAGATGAGTGAAAGAAGAAAATATATTAATCAAAACACATCAGATTATTTCAGATTATAATACTGTGGTTGAGGAAGACTTTTTTAAAATTCAAAACACAGAAGCCATAAAAGAGAATTTAAATCTTCTGTATGATGCAAGATGCCATAAACAAAGTTAAAATACAATTCATAGAAAGGAAAAATATGGTTGCAACCTATGTGACAGATATATAATCTCTATCATATATAAGGCACTCCTATACTTTAATAAGAAATAAAGAATTCAGTTTTAAAGGTAGGAAAATATAGCTGGCAATACATGGAAGAAGAAAAATTAAATAACAAACAAACATATAAAATAGATTTACGCTCACCTGTAATGAGTGAAAAAAAATTTAGAAAAAAGAACAATAACATTTTTGTCCATTTAAGTAGGAAAAATCACAAGATTTATGATACCCAGAATTGGCAGGAGTTTGAGCCAATGGAACTCTCATGCAATAAGTAAGAGTGTAAAATGGTATAGCCTTTAGAAGGAAAATTTTGGGAAAGCAAAATAAAATTTTGTTGTAGTAATTACACTTCCACAGCTTTCCCCAAATTCAAAACTTACACTTATCAAAACATAAGAGAATGAGAGCTCAGAATGGGAGCAGATGTTTGCAGTGTGTATATTCAACAGAGGACCCATATGCAGAATTTGAAAGAACGCCTACAAATCAGTAAGACTTTTAAAAAGGCAGTATAATTTTTTAAATGGGGAAAAGACTTGAACCAACACTTTACAAAAGAAGATATGCAAATGGTCAAGAAACATAAAGCCTCATTGGTCATTAGGGGAATGCGCATTAATACCCAAAGAGAGAATGCTACCCACTCACCAGGATGGCTCAGTTAGTAAGTCTGGCAATACCAAGTATTAGTGAGAAAGCCCTCATACATGGCTGGTGGGAGGGCAAGATGGCACAATCACCTCGAATTTCAAATGGGAAATACCTATTAAAACTATTACCCAGAAATTCTACTCCTAGGTAAGTACCTAACAGACATGGTACAACTGTGTACTAAAAAATATATACAAGAGTGTTCATAATAGCAATTATTTGTAATAGCCCAAACCTGAAAACTCAGATGTCCATCAATAGTAGAATAAATAAATACCTTTCGGATTACTCAGGTAATGGAACATTCCACAAAAATGAAAATGAATGATCTCTTGCTATGCGGAGCAATAAGGAAGAATCTTACGACCCGAATGTTGATCCAAAGAAGCCAGACATAAAAAAGTATGTATGATTCCATGTGTATGAATTTTGAAAACAGGCAAAACTAATATGGCTTTAAAGATCAGACAGTGGTTACCTTTGGGGAGGAAGGGCTGGGAGTTACTGGAAAGGGGCTTTTGAGGGGCTAGTCATGTTCTATTTCTTAATCTTGGTGATGGCTACGTGGGGATGTTCACTCCATGGTAATTCATCGAACTATTCCCCTGTAATCAGTGCTCTTTTCTGTATGTATGCTCTGTTATCTTATTAAAAAGAATCCACGTGTACTGACATGGAAAGATACTCACAGAACACTGAGTAGAAAAAACAGACTATCATGTAGCCCAGCAATTTTTAAACAGTTCCTCAGAAGATTCTGATTCGCTATCACATTTGGGAGCCCCTGGGCTAGACCTGAGGTCTTTTCCAATCCCCTGATTCTGCAATTCATTTCTTCATTCGACCAAGTATTTGGAGGCTCCCCATCAGGCAGTGCACCATACTCGGCACGACAAAGCATACACAGAATGAAACTGGTTGGGAGAGGAATCGCAAAGCTAGGTAACTCTGGAACTCTGTTCCAAGGCAGACAATGATTAGCTCCAGGAGGCAAAGGCATGGAGAGGAAGAGCAATGGGAGAGTCTGTTTGGGAAATGCTAGCTGAAGGCACATTGGTGGGCGCCGTCTGGGTCTCTGCCTCCTTAGCTAGCGTGGCCGCGGAGCATTCTGAGGGACCAGATCTAAGCAGCTGCCCTGGGCTAGACAAACCATGCGAAAGGTTTACACCCACCTTTGAGTGCATTTTCTGAGAATTCCAGAAGTTGGCAACTTTCTTCTTTCTGGACTTTCACCCTACATAGAAAATTCTTTCTCACTCACCTCATCAGACCTTCTTCTCTCATTAGCTTTTTTTTCACCAACTGACTAAGGAAGATACAGGTTGTTTTTACTCAGCTGTGCCCTAGATTAACTTTTCCCCGTTAAAGGTTGATACTCCTCTCCTCAGTGTAAAAGACCTGTGAAAAAGTCTTCACAACCATCCACACCCTCCCAGTCTCTTCCCTGTGCAACTGGATTTGTGACACAAGCCTGGGCTCCACCTGGTATATAGTTAACCTGTTCTTGGAAATGTCTGCTCCTGAAGTCTTCTCACCTTCTGCTTGGTCATGTCTAAGAGCCCCACAGAGTATCTGTCACAGTTGAGGAAGGCTCGGACTGTGTACAGGGCTTTGTGGAACTGCCTCTCGATGTCTGTAAGCTCCTCAAAGACTTTGCTCCCAGACCACAGTAGTATCTGCAGAAACACAAAACATAGTCAACGTTTTTGAGGCACAGAGCTGCAGCTCACAATAACCAGGAGATAAAATAATTGTCCCCATTTAACAGATGGAGATATTGAGGTTCAGAGAGGTGAATAACTGGCCAGCTTATATTAGGTCCAACTCTTCATTTCTTTGATCTCATAGATGGTTAATAAGAAAGATAATAAACATTGATTGAGCACAAGTGCTCTATATACATTATCTCATTTACTATAGAAAGTGATCTTTTTTTTTTGACAATAATCTTTTGAGAGTAGAACCATAATTGTCCCCATTTTTCAAATGGGGAGACTGAAACTTGGAGAGGTTAAGTGATTTGCTCAGGGTCTTAGACCTAGTAAATGGCTTAGCAGGGAATCAAATCCAAGCTGCCTGACATGAAACCTTGTGCATGTAATCTGGGATACAGCTTTACAAACATCCAGTACCTCATTAACACTAGGGATGCTGGGCAGAGACTGTGCGATGGTTCCCAGGCACTTTCGTTAATACTGCCTTTCCAGTTGACCACATCAGTACCTCAGTGAAAGGACACATCCAGCCCATTCCCTTGAGCCAAGCCCCTTACCTGGCCACGCCGAGTCTCACAGTTGTGCAGGTAACTCAGGTGAAACACCTTCATGATTAGATTTGCAAAATTGAGATACTTAAGAAGAATCTGAAAATCAAACAGCAAGAAGAGAAACAGATGAGAAGGAGAAATCCCTCCTCTGGCCGCTTCTACCATCTGCAAATATCTGAGTTATTTTCATGCAATTTGAGCAGGTGGATAATGGGATGCTGACTCATACAATGTTGCGTTATTAGAGTGTAAAACTCACAGAATGTAGAATGTCAAGTTGACAGGCATATGTACATGACTATTGCTACTTTTTGTTGAGTTTTCAGTCCCCATGATAATTATTTACGTGTGTTATCTGATCATCACAAGTACCTCAAGAGATAATATAGATAGTCTAGAGGTGGATTCAGCTCAGCAGCAGAGTGCACGTTTATCATGCACGAGGTCCTGGGTTCGATCCCTAGTCCTTCCATTAAAAAATGGAAAAAGAGATACATAGATACTCTACATAAAGATACTATAAAATCGTCCCCATTTTACAAATAAGAAAACTGAAGTTCAGAGAAATTATATAACATTCCCAAGTCAAAGCTAGGTATTAGGAGAGCCAGAACAATCATCCCTACATTTCAAAGCCCAACATCTTAACAATTATCCTGTTCTGCCTCCCTCAGAGAGCATCAGAGTAACCCCTTTGTCTTAAAGTTGGGGATACCGAGGCCAGGCCAAGTAGCAAGGGTCAAAGGACTTTGTGAGCTGGGAGAATGTTGCTAGCATGGCCACCCCAGCAGTTTCTAAAGCATTCTTACCTCTTCATCTCTCTCGGTGAAGCAGGGCCCATCCACTTTATTCACCGCCATGATTATGGCCACCACGTCCTTCCCATTCATTATGGGGGAAGCCAAGATGTTCTTGGTCTGGTACTCTGTGAGGGTGTCCACGAAGTCACAGAAATGCTCATCCTGGAAGAGGCAGAGACAAGCGTGGGTGGGCAGATGAAGCGCAAAGACACTAGAACAACCCAGAGCCCAGGTGCCCATGGTAGGGGTGGGGCGAGGGGCTTGCTATTCTCTTGTTGACAAAAGAATGAAGACATTTCCACCCCCCCCCTTTAGCAGGGGGCAAGGCGATTAGAGATGATTTCTCCCCTGGGCCCTCAAAATCCAGTGGAAAGAAGTCTGAGATACAGCCTGCTGAGGGCCGTGGAGGCGATTTGAACAATGCACAGTAGGGGCCCAAGATGGGGTGGGGTTGACTTTGCATGCGAGGAAGTTTTCGAGAAAGCTCTCTTGAGGTAATGACGTTTAAGCCCCAAATAGAAACTTGAGTGAGGAAAAGACTGTAGCGAGTATAATCATCACAGTTTCTGGCAGGCACTGTGCGTGAAGCTTCGCCTGCATCAGCTCACTTCAGTCCTCCCCGGCACCTGTGAGGTGGGACCGTGAGCAGTCCACCTTACAGAAGGGGAAGCTGAAACTCAAAAAGGTTAACTTTACTTGTTACATGTGTGTGTATGTGATTCCAGAACCTGCCCTCAGCTCTGCTGCCTTTCAGGGAAGCCTGGAAAAGGGTAGACCTGGCTCCAGGTCATTGAGCAAAAGAATTTGTTCCTTTCAGCTTTTCTCACAATCCAGCTCCAGCACTATGCAGCCAGTTCAATGGATAGCCCCATTCCACAAGTCTTAACTATCTGTCAGACCTTAAGCTAAGCGCTGTGGACACAGGGGAGAGTAAGATTCAGGCCAGCACACAGACGAATCAGTACTAGTAACAGAGGACACAGGGGTTGGCTCAAAGCAGTGGGAGTACAGAGGAGCCCACACCCCCACATCCCACCCCTAAGGCAAACTTGGAGGCCAGAGTAGGGCGGTGCAGTCTGGGTGGTCAAAAAAAGGAGACAGAGCCTGAACTGTTGTCTTAAATCCAAAAGAATCCACCTTCTTGTTTCCTGGTAGCACTGTGAGGTTTCCCAACTGTCAGCATTGCTTGGGACACAAGCCAACCCAGACATGTACAGTTTGTGCCGCTCTGAGAAGGAAAGTGCATTTCATAGAGCCAATTGACAGAGCTTTGCTAGAACTGGCTGTGTGGAATCTTCCCCATAATTCAGAAATTCAGAGCATGGTGCTTTGCATCTGCGGATTTCTTCCAGCTGGAGTGGGATTAAACAAACAGGCCACAGCGCTGTTGTCCGTGAAGCTGTCTCAGACCAGGTGAAGGGTAAAGAGATTAAGAGACGCCTGTAGCGCTGTACTTGAATTAGCATTGGAGGATTAAGCAGAATCTCTAAAGAGGCATTAGCCACAAGGGTTTTCCACGTCACTCTCTAAAGACACTGACAATCCCTAAACACAGGTCTGGGTGGGGCACACTCAGATTCGTTTCATGAAGTCAGTTCAGTCTTGTAATATTCACTCCTGTCAGGGAAAGCAAGACTTGGGCCTTGCCTGCATCTGAGGCCAAGATTACTAAATCCACCAGAACCCTCTCTCCCACTTGTGTTCTCAGCCCTGTAACTTTCTCACAAATAGTACGGCTGCCAATTGACTGGCGTTTACATAATCATTGTCATCCTTATGTTTTCAGCGTATAAAGTGTTCTAAACAACCATGTCATAGAAGCTCGGATTATCGGGGCAGAGGGGCCTCAGAAGCCATTTAGCTCAAAATGTTTGTTTTAAAGCCCAGGACTCAGATGTCCCCGGGGAAAGCCCAAAGTCATGCATTCATTCAGTTAGCATTAACAGAATGCCGTCTCAGGTATGCTAGGCACTGTTCTAGACCCTTAGATTATGGCAGTGAACAAGAGGGGTGAGCATCTTTCGCTGGTGAAGCCTCCATTCAGATGGGATAGGTAGACAAAAAGCAAGTGCCCAGCTGCTCTGCAGGAGAGAAACTGAATGATGTTGTATAAAGTGGTGGAGGAGGTGGCGGCTTGAAGCTGCTCTGGTCAGTCATGGTGGATGACACAGAGAGCTGGAGGGTGAGAGGAGCCAGGCAGGTGAAGGATATGCACAGAGCACAGGGGGCACAGAGAATGCAAAGGCCAGGAGGGGGCAATGAGCTGGTCGATCAGAAAAACAGAAAGAAGACCAGGGTCGTGGGACAGCAGAGGGCAAGGAAGTCCGAAGTGGGCAGAGGGCCCTATCGAGCAGGACCTTGGAGGCCGCTGTAAAGAGTAGCGATTTCATTCCAACATAATGGAAGACTGCTTCTCAGTCCTGGAAACCCCAATTCCTCTTTTCAAACATTCGCAGTGCCAAGCTCCATTGTGTCCCATGATGAGACCTATTTATTGAATAATCATAGACTAGGCCCAGAGCCGGACCACTCATTAACTCTCACATCTGCCTTGTCACATAGAACTCTCATCCTTCATGTTTTATGGACAATTCTCTTGCTGGCAAATGGCACAGCCACTCCATTCATTCATTAATTTATTCACTGATACACTGGTTCATTCACTCACTTATATTTACTGAGCACTGGCTCTGGGAGAGACACTGGATATGCCAAGACCAGTAAGAAAGGTGAGGCTGTCCTCACTGGGTTATCACTGTATAGTGGGAACATCATGTAAAACATGAACTCACAGCTCAAACCATAATGTGAAGGAGGCCCCCACAGGATGGGTGATACCCTGGGGCCCAGGGAGGGAGGGACTTATTCTATGAGTGGCTTCAGGAGCCAATCAGTACATTGTCAGTAGCTGAAACCTCACTGAGCCTGTTTCTCCTTTGGTAAAATCAGAGTGTTGGAGCAGGTCGTCCTGGAGGTCTCTTTCTGGTCTAGCCTGCTGGGGTCCAAGTCTCACAGGGAAGGAAGCAGAGCAGGACAACAGATGGAAGAGTCTCTGGAAACGGTGTTGCTCTCAGATTCAGTCTTCAAAAGTGGGATTTGTCGGTGTCTAGGAAAGACTCACTGTTTCCCTTTGCTCTCACACCTAGCACCACATGCACGACACTTCTGAAACTGGATACAAAGGTGTTTTTTCTCACACTGACCAGTTCTCTGACACCAGCTGGGTATCCACCAATTCAGTTCAGTTCTGACACTGTTCCTGCAGAATCAGAACCTACAGGTGAAGGGCTCAATCCCATAAGACTGCCCCCACTTCAGGTGCCAATCACAGGTCCCAGGCTGCCATCTATACTCTGACTATCAGCTGAAGTTCCAATGGCCTCCTCCTTGGGTTTAATAATTTCTTAGAAGAATTCATGGAACTCAGGGAAATATTTACATTTCAGACTTATTATATAATGAAGGATATGACAAAGGATACAGATGAACTGTCAGATCGAGAGACACATCAGGTGAGATCCAGAAGGATCCTAAGTGCAGGAGTTTCTGTCCCACTGAAGATGAGGTGCACCACCCTCCCAGCACATGTGTGTGTTCAACACAGAAGCTCTCTGAAGCCTGTACTTTTAGGGATTTTTATGGAGATTTCATCACAAAGGCAAGATCTATTATTAACTCCATTTCCAGCCCCTCTCTGCTCTTAAGAGGATAGGAGATGAGGCTGAAAGTTCCAAGTGTCCAATCATGACTTGATCTTTTTGGTCCCCTATCCAGGAGCCTACCGAGAGTCCCCTCATTAGAACAAAAGACCACCTACCCCCCAGGAAATTCCAAGGGATTTAGAAGCGCTGTGTCAGGGTCAGTTCTGTGCCAGGAACCAGGACGAAGACCAATAAATATTTCCCTTTATAAATCACACTATCACAGCCCACTGCGTGAGGGCCATCATTTATTCATTCGCTCAGTAATCTGCAATGAGTGCCCGCTCTGTCCCCAGCACGGGACTAGGTCTGGGGACCAGTGGTGAATAAGGCAAACAGGAACAGACAGGCCTCCTGGGCGTTCCTAAGGAGAAAGGGTAAAGGATAAATACACGAACAAATACTGAATGGCAAGTAGGGTTGCCAGATGTAACAGATAAACACAGGATGACTAGTTAAATTTGAATTTCAGGTAAATAATTTTTTAGTAGGAATATGTCCTGAATATTGTATGAGGCATACTGTAGTGTGAACCTGACAGCTTTTTGTAGTTTTTTGTTTGTTTTTTGTTTTTCATTTTTGTAATGTAAGTGTATGACTTAAGCGTAGATCGCGGAGCATCCTCTTCAAAGAGCTGTCTGACGATTTCAAATAAACACACTGTCAGCCGTGGGGTGACTGGATAAAGAGCCCTGCCACCTCCTCCCGCTGAGGCTTCTATGTTTTCAAGATCTTGGCTGATTTTGATAACTGATCATTTGGGCTCAGGGTTTAGTTTTTGGTTTAGTTTTTCTGGTTTTTGGTTTTCTCTTCCCATGATTTAAACTCCTGCTCTTATGTTTTAACTTTACCAATAAAGACTGAGCCTGTGAAATCTTAGCCCCCCACCTTCGACCCCAATAAGAGCCCTATGCCTGAGCCTGCTCTCTGTCTCTCTACCGGAGACCTTGCTGTGTGACCCCAGGTGTGCCGAGGAATTCCCAAGTCTTGTAAGTAATAAACTTTTATTTTTTCAAAGTTTCCTGATGATTACTGCTGAAGGATATCTTGCATTCATAATAAGAACCACAAGGGCTGGTTCATCCACAACATTGATTATTGACAGGCTGAAATGGGCACAAAACACGTACTAAGATATTACTCTTGGTTTATCTAAAATTCAGATTTAACTGGCATCTTGTATTTTATCAGCCCTAATGACAAATCTCCCTGAGGAGATCCCAAGGATAAATAGGAATTTCTAGAGTGTGGGGAACCACATTACAACCCTGGGAAACTCCATTCATGGTTCCACTTTTTTTTTTTCTTTTTGATTGAAGTATAGTCTATTTACAATGTTGTATTAATTTCTGGTGTACAACATAGTTAGTTTCACATTTTTAAAATGCAGTAATTATAGCCATTTCCCAGGTATTTTGAGGGCACTAAAGGCTAAGAGAGTCACTTCTTGGTGGCTCAAGGACAATTCAGACCCCAGTCTATACCATGTTTCTGCACCTTCTCCTTCCACCCTCTGAGTCACTCACTGTCCAAAGCCTGGAACAGAGCATGATTTCTCAAGGAGGAATGACAGGAGAAGCAAACACATGCGAATGTGGAGGACACAGGATTGCTGGCCTGGACTGACTTTACTCCAGGCCTGAGGCACCCTCCAGGGTGACTGCCCGGCCCAGAAGCTTCCAGGAAAGCACAGCCAACATTTCCAGAGTGAACTTGGGTTGAGCAGGGAACAGCAGGCTGTCCCTTAGCACAGGGGCTCAGCAAACTCTTGCGGAAGTTTTAGAATCAGAGAACCTTTCTGAATCCTCAGTCCCTCAACAGCAGGCACCACGGAAGTTTTCAGCACCTCTGTTTTCTGTTTTTCCCATAAATAGACTCTAAACTGAAAGCTCCAGGAGGGTGAGACTGGCTGCGGATCTGGTAGAGTGTCCATTGCTTGGAATAAATAGATCCTTAGCAGCGGCAACAGAACAGCAATAATAGTAACTAGAAGCAGGAGCTGCCAGTGTGAACTATTACACTGTGCCAAGAGCTTTGCTTGATAAGAAATAAATCTCTCATTTAACCCTACAACACCACCTAGAGAAACTTAGCTATTCTCACTCTATTTTATAGATAAGGAAGTGAGCCCAAACAGACAAAGCAATTTGCCAAGGCCGTGTTCTTAGAAAATGACTGTGTCATGATTCACACCCAGGTCTAACTTCAAAGTGTAACATCTTAACTTCCTGCCACATAATTTGAAATGACCTTTTGTAAACTGCACTGAGAGTAATGCCCTCATTTTATAGATAAAGAGGAGGTGTACAATAGCAGAGCAGTGAAGGCCATGGGCACCAGGCTATAGGGCCCGAGTTCAAATCCTTGCTCTGCCACTTTCTATCTGTGTGACTCTGAGCAAGTTCCCTAACCTTTCTGGGTTTCAGTTTCATTGTCTGTATAATGGGGATAATCAGACATATGTCACAGGACTCTGACAATCCATGTCAGCTACAGTGAAAGTCTACAGAGAGCTGAAGGAAGAACAGATTTCAATGTGTAACAGGGAAGAACAATTCTGACTCCATGTTGGATCTGTTTCTTTTACTTTAACCTTTGCATTCTATTGCTTTTGCTACAAGTTAATCACTAAAAGGATGTTGCCTATAAGCTTAAATCATACATAATGGCCAAATCTCTGGGAACCCTGCCTCCCACAGAATGAGTGTTAAGCTAAAATACCTTTTTAGCTCACGAGAAACATCCTGACCAGGGCCACCTTGAATGACTGCAGGCAGGAAGAAATTAACACACATCCCCTCCAGAGGCTGACCAGAACCAGGAAATGTTTGACTTTACTCCCTCCTCTTTTAGTATAAAAGAAGAATAAATTCTAACTCAGGCAGGATGTTTCTTTGCGACACTAGTCCATCCGCTTCTCAGTCTGCTGGCTTTCCAAATAGTCACCATGCCTTACCCCAACAGCTTGTCCCTCAACTTACTGGCCTGTCTCGTGGCAAGCAATACAAGCTTGGACTCGGTAACAGATGCAGTTGGACGAGTCCTCAGTGAAGCACCCCACCCCCAGGTGCAGAATCATTACCCCTACCCTTGGATGTCCAAGGAGAGATGACTCCCACGGGAGACCCAGCCCAGCATGTTGCAAAGGAAACCATTTCCCACAAAGGCCCAAGTCTGTGCTGCTTATCTTTCCAAGGAACCCAAGATGAATTCCCGCATCTGTGGACATGAAGTCCTGGCTCTGCTCTAACTCCTTGGTGGCTTTGGGCAAGCTCCGTTTCAAGATCTGACTCAAGGCTTCTCGTCCGAGTCAGCTGGGTGAGGTGGTCTCTCAAGCCCCCTCCCTCTCCTCCTTTTAACCCTAAGACCCTTAATCTGAAATAACGTCAGAGGTAAGGTGAACACAAAGTCACAACATGTCCAGCTTGGATCTTGGAAATGGCAACGCAGGCTCCTGGTTTGGCCAGTGCAGCAATGAATGAGACCAACGTGGGCCTTGCTTGGGGCAAACTTTCAGGTGAACAGGTGTTAAAGGGATTATCGGATAATTAGTTGATTGTGAGTCTTTTTTCCAAGTGTTTGCTGAGCATCTGCTTTGTGCCAGACCTTTGCTGGGTCCTGGGTCCTGAGATAAAGCAGAGAATAAGGCAAGCATGGTCCCTGGCCTCCAGGGTTTATTGTGATAAATGTTTTCAGGAAGAAGACTAACAGGGATCTGGGAGGGTCTCTCTGAGGAAGTGACCTCTAAGCTGAGATCTGAAGGATGAGCAGGAGTTGACTCTAGCAATGGGCCATGGGGAGAACTGCATCAAGTGATTTGCTTTAGGTAATCAAAGAAGCCTGGGTCAGAGCTGCCAGGAGAATCCCACAGAATCCCAGACTCCTAGAAGATAGAGCCAAATGCTTGCTTAGCCAAGTGGCCAATTTAACATTTCTTGATTAGACAGACTGTCATCATGTCTCCCCAGATGTAATGACTGAAGAAAAAGACAACATAACCTCTGCGATATTCCTGTCGGAAATGCATAGCCTGAATCTAATAAAGATGTATCAGACAGGCCCAAATGGAGGGGCATTTCTGCAGAACGGTTGGCCTGCACGCTTCAAAAACATCAGTGTAACGGAAAACGAAGATAGATGGAGAAACTGTTGCAGAATTGAGGAGACTAAAGACGTAATTGAGAAAATTGGCAAGAATTGAATATGGACTCTTTGTTAGATAATAGTATTGTATCCATGTTACATTTCCTGAATTTGATCATTGTGCTTTGGATATGTAAGAAATGTCCTTGTTCTGGAAATACAAAGTGCCTGGGGTTAAAAGGGCACATTGTCAGCATTTGACTCTCAAATGGGTCAGAAAAAATGCTGACAAAGAGCAAATGTGGCAAGATGTGAACAAGTGGGGAGTTTGGAGGGAAGATACAGTTCTTCATACCATTTTTAAACTCTTCTAAATTTGAAATTTTTTTCCAAAATAAAAAGTTATCAGTAAACAAGTAAAGAAAAAAAGAAAGCGCCAAGTCGTCCCCAGCCCAGTCGTGGTGGCCAGCAGCTCCCCATCCCGTTGCACCCCCCGGAACCCCGTGGAATAATGCCTCCCTGCCCTCCCTCTCACGGGGAAGAGGATACCTCTTCTGTGTTGGGGACGTTGATGACCTTTTTAGAGACTGCGACGTGGCCCACCACGCCCATGTCCAGGGGGAACACGATCTCCGAGTCGGGCGCCACCAGGCAGTCCTCAAGGACGGCATCCTTGTGGACGTTGAAGAGCCGGGTGGCCAGCTCCGCGATGCCATTTCGAGCCCGGTACATGAACAGGCTCATGCGGTCTGCGTGCAGGAGGAAACACAGCTTCTTCATGACGTTGAAGATGCATTTCTCGGCCTGCAGATTCTCCTGAAAGTCCCGCAGGAGGTCGAAGATGATTTCGCTCTCCTCCACGCTGTTCAGAGCGTGGTAGTGGCTGAAGTCCACGGCTGTCTCCCTGGCCCCCAGGAGGTCTGAGACGACCTTGGCCCGGTAGCGGAGGTTGTAGTATTCTCTGGCAAAGCCCACATTTGAGTCCAGGAACTTCTCCACCTCCTCGGCCGTCACCTCCCCCATGGTTGGGAATTCCACAGGCTACTTCTGTGGACGGGGCCGAGGCTGGCTATCCCAGGGAAGTTTTGAGGCAAAACTGAGTCAGGATGTGTTCTGCTCTAACCTAGACTTCTCTGGATCTTGTCTGTGAATCTCCCTGGTATGGCCGCAGAGGAGGAGTGAGCTTGGGAGATTAAATCATTAATATTTCCCCAGAACAAGGATTACGAGGATCAGAGTGTTCCAGATGCTTCTGGGCCCCAGATGGGAGAAGGTGAATGTCTCTTTTCACCTTCATCTGCTAAAAGGAGGAGAGATTTCTGCACAGAGCAGGAGGTGGGTTCTACTAAAAAAATAAAAATAAAAAAATGAAAAAAACCCCCCACTGAAACAGAGGCTGCAAATCAGCAGCACAGGACATGCTCCTATTACAGACATGTTTTTCCTGCCCTGTATAGTATTCTACATCTACATTTGATGTGGAGGATTCATTTGACTTCTCTTGGAGAATCAGAAGATCTAACAACTCCATGTCCACATTCCTCCATGGCAGGAATGGCTGGAGCTGGGAGGGACCGTCTTCACATTCACCACTCAGCCTGCTTCCTGTGTGTCCATTACGAGTCTGGCACTTGTGAGCCCTGATTTCACAGTCTCCACATCACAGTCTCTCCCAGTTTTGGATTTCAACGATTCTCTTATTTCAGAATTCGAAGGACCCTCATAAATACAACACCTTCCAAAAAAGAAAAAAAAAGAACAAAAAAGGAAAAAAGATTAAAAAAGACATTTCATCGTTTTTATTTTATTACAAAATACGTGTTCACTGTAGAAACTACACAAAGACCATTAAAGTCACCCATAATCCTGCCACTCACAGGTAAACTTTAGTTAACATCTTCATTTCTATCCTTTCTGTAGAGTTTTAACTTTCAAATCTATTTTCCTTCAACCTCCTGATCTTTCTTTTGGCACCCTAAGGTACTTTCTCTGGCTATTGTCTGCACCTTCTTGGGTTGTCAGTCAGAAATGCACACAATAGTCTAGATGTTATCAGTCTCAAAAGTGCCAGAATCCTCATTGGAGTGTCTCTCCAACACACTAGGGCAGGAGGAGGAGAACACTTCCTTCCTGGATGAAATGTGCTTGTGCTTCTGTGGACATATCTGCAAGAGCCCGGCATCTCTATGTCGTAAACACGATGGAATGCAGGATCATAGACTGTGGCTGGCACTTTGAACTGTGTAAGTGAACTTTAATGGATAGTAGATTACTTTATTGTAGCGTGTAATAAGTTTCTGTGTGCTGTGCCCAGCAGCACTGTGTACACAGGTGACTCCTTGGTCTGGTGGACCACGCAGAAACTTTTCCAAACACACTCGCCATAACTAACATGAGCCTCCCACCTGGAATATGCTTCCCCAGCTCACTAACTCTTCAGTCTCTAGGTCTCAGCTCATGCTAGTCATCCCTGTTGTCCATCTCCAGGAGCCCCAACCACCCCTCCCCAGTTCCCGCCTGTCATTATCATCTTATTTGTTTCTTTTATTTCCTTTATTTCTATTAAAATGTATCTTGGTTTTTTTTTTTTTCTGTTTGTTTCCTTGTCTATTATTTGTCTTCCCCTCTGTACTGTGAGCTCCAGTAGGGGGCAGGTACCTGTCAGGGCTAATTTCCGAGGTTTTGCAAGGCTGCCTGGCATATCCATGATGCTCAGTAAGTTTTAAAAAATTCTGTCTGTGGTTGTTCATTTTATGTGCCAACTTGACTGGGCTAAGGGATGCCCAGACAGCTGGTAAAACACTATTTCTGGGCTTGTCAAATAAGAGTGTTTCCAGAGATTAGCATTTGAATGAGTAGACTAAGTTATGAAGATCATCTTCACCAATACAGGTGGGCATCCTGTGATGGGACTGAATAGAACCAAAAGTGGGGGAAGGGCATCATGGCCCTCTGCTTGAGCTGGGACATCCATCTTCCCCTGCCTTTGGAACATTGGCACTCCTGGTTCTCCGATGCAGGCCAGGACTTACACCTTTGCCCCTCGGACTCAGACTGAGTTACACCACCAGGTTTCCGGGTTCTCCACCTTGCAGACAGCTAGTTGTGGGACTTCTCAACCTCCATAACCCACATGAGCCAATTATCCGGGGATCCCTGACTAATACAAAGTCCTACACATTTCTGATTAAGATTTAGAAAATACCAGAAGACACAAAGGAAAAAAATTGAAATCAAACATAATTCCAGACATTACCATTGCCAGTATTTTTTGTATATTTTAAAGTCTTTTCCTGGTAAATACATGTTGTAAATATATATTCTCAACCTTGACACTATTGACATTTAGTGCCCAATAACTCTTTGTTGTGGGTGCTGCCCTGTACGTTGTAGGATATTTGGCACATCCCTGGCTGCTACCCACTAGATGCCAATGGCACCTCCCCTCAAGCTGTGACAATCAAAAATGTCTCAAGACATTTCCAAATGTCCCCTGGGGTCTCCCTATTGAGAACCACTGGTCCACAGTTACATACTGATGTTGTTTCTAATTTTCTAGTATTACAAACAGTCCTGTCATGAACATCCTTATATTTCTTAGTGAAAACACCTAGAAGTGAATTTCCAGCCCCAAAGAGCTTGCAGCTATCTGAGGATTTGGATAAATGATGCTGATTTTGCTCTCCAAGGCTACATCACAGTTTATGAGGCTGTCCTAACTCCTACCCCACCCCTCAAAAATTAAGTAATCTTTTCAAATCCTGACATTGACAGCACTCCAAATTTGGCCCTAATACCCCTTCCTTCTGGGTTTTGCACAATTTCTCTACACATGCTCTAAGTTCCACCCTAGTATTTTCTATTCCCTCTGGCTTTTGCCTCTTTGTTCTTGCTGTGTCCTCTGCCTGTCCCTTACCACCCAGTCCAAAGGCCACTCCTTCCACGGATTCTTGCCCCTGCGAGACTCTTTTCCTACTTGGAACCACCGAATTATTGATTTGCTTCCATTTCAATGGGAGTTTCTAGATTTTAGGCTATGTTATTTCTACACATTTGCACGTTCATCAAATCTATGCTCTTTGAGGCTAGGAGTGAAAATTTACCCCTTTAAAAAACTCCAAAAGATCCCAGCTCAGGCTTAGTTCTGGTTGGGAACATAAGCAACTGTTTTGCAGGAAACCTACTTTCACCTCATTTACAATAAGCCAGAATGAGGAAGTAAAGCCTGTTTAAAAAACTTCAGCCCTCATTGTTGAGTAGGTACAGATAAGCTGGTATTTGCAGCAGATCACATGCCTCTTTAAGGTGCCTGATGGCAGATGTCAGTGGAAGGAAATTTGAAGCTTCTTTCATTGGGAGCAGGGGTTACCAGAATGCACTGCTTTTTGTAGTTCAGCCGGAAAAAGAACATGTTTTACTTGAAACACGAAAACAGGATTGTAGGCTCAACACTGCCACTGACTCATTCTATGATATTGAAAAAGCCCTGTCCTCTCTCAAGGCTCTGTTGATTTTCCTAACAACAAAATAAGAAAGTTGAACAATATGTGTCTAACACTCCTGGATCCATGACCCTAGATGGGCTCAGAGTGATGCGGGACTGACCAGGAATGGCTGAACTCTCCATTCCTGACCACGAGTCTTGCCAAAGAACCTCTAGAAGAATCGGTTAGATCTGTATATTTAGAGTAATGTCTACTCCAAGATCCACATTTCATAGAAGAGAAAACGGAAAAGCTTTGAAAAGTTAGGTGACTCAACTCATAGGTGATTTAATAATAGTTTTTATTGAGAGATAATTCACATAACATAAAAGTCACAATTTTAAAGCATGCAATTCAGTAGTTTTTAGTATATTTGTTACGTTGTCCTACCACTAACCTGTTTTCTCATCCCCTGGTAACCACTAATTTACGTTCTCTCTCTATGGATTTACCTATTCTGGACATTTCATATCAATGGAATTATACAACATGAGGCCTTTTGTATCTGACTACTTTCACTCAGCATAATGTTTTCAAGGTTCATCCATATTGCAGCATCTATCAGAACTTCATCCCCCTTTTTTGGGGCTGAATAATGTTCCATTGTATAGCTATACCTCATTCTGTTTACCTATTTATTAGTTGATGGACTCTAGGTTGTTTTCACCTTTGAGCTGTTATAAACATTAGTGTACAAGTCTTTGTATAGATATATGTTTTATTTCTCTTGTGGGTATGCCCAGGAGTGGAATTGCTGGGTCCACAGGTGATTTTAAGACTCTGAGTTTGGAGATAAAGAGCAGGGTTAGGGGGCGGGAGAGGAAAGAAATAAGATGCAGCAGGGAACCAGCTGGGTGAAGGAGAGGTATTTGTGGGAAGGTGTTTTGTGAGGGACTATTTGGAAAGAAGAGGACCCTGAAATTCAGGAGCTGCTTGAATGAGAATGGACTGATTAGCATCTCAGTGGCCATCACAAATCCCGGTGTTGGGTGAGGAGGTCCCCACGGCCCCCAGTCATGCATCACTCCTGTCAATAGTGATGGTGAAGGAACTAAGGATGTTCAGCTAGGAGGAGCTCTGAGAGACTGCTGGGGGTGGTGTGTGCCAGCTTGTTCAGGGAGGATCCAGAGAACCAGACAAGCCAGCAGGTAAGAGACATGTTATCCTAAGACATCAACACCCGAAGTGCTTAAGAGGTAGAGTGCAGGAATTAGGCTTAGGACTGAGTCTGGGCCTGTCTTTTGCTCTCTGTGTAAATTATTTAATTTCCCTGGACCTTACTGTGTTTATATGTAAAATTAGAACTATTTTACATGGCTCTTGTGGCGATTAAGTGAGATAATATACTGTATAGTGCAAAGCCAGGGCACACTAAGTTGAACCAGATGAAACTGCCTCTATTTGACTGTTTTTGTCCTACACAGACAGCAGTTTCATACTATTCAATTTAATAGTAGTCATTCAATCATAATAACTAATCATAACTCTCAAAGATTAACTGGATTACCTTAAAGACAGTGAATTCCCTGTTGCTGAAGT